TAAAAACTATAAGCAAATGAATGGTTTAGAGTGGGAATGCCCAGTCTAATTCCAGCTCTGCTGGTAACTTTCTCCTTGTAAAAACCTCCAGTTTGAAATTGCCACTCTGGGATCAGTCACATCACTGTCCCTAGTGGCTTCAGAATAAGGCAGGAATATAGCACTTGCTTTGCTATAGATCATGCCTTTTCAGAAGCTTTGTCTGAATTGCAAAGCAGATGCAGAAATGAGGCCTGATAGCTGGAAGCAGCAATTCACACATAAAGCCTGCAATATTTCTTTGGAAAGAGAGAGTAAAAAGTGAAACCTGGAGTTTTCCAGAAGATGGTTGTTCTGTTAGCAGTGTCACCAGTGGTAAATCCATTTAAAACAGTCTTGTCACACCTCTATACACAGCTAATGTGGACATGTTCAAAGCCTCACCTAAGATAGAACATTTTGAAGTGGTATAATTAAATCTGGTGTGTTCTTAAAGTAGAGGATGAGGCACCTGTTCACTGCGTGCAATCAAACTGAGAGCCTGCAGGCTGATGTGGCTCGCTGCCCAGGAGCTCCTGTGCCCGCTCACAGCACGCAGGCGCCAAGTGGCAGCTATTGCTCCTGCAGAAATACTGCTCCTGCAGAAATATGGCTCCTGCTCTCTGGGACAGCAGCCTGGCTGCAGCAGTCACCCTGTTTTGCCTGTGAAAGGTGCAAGATGACAGAGGCTGCACGGTACAGAACCTGCCATGGTGCCTGAGGAGAACAGGAGGAGAGGAGGAAATGGCTGCTGGCAGGGCAGGCAGGCCCTGAAATGTGGGATGTCCCAGTTGGGTTCACCCACAGCTGTTGAGGTCAGACCACCTCCCTTAGGTCAGCCCTCCTCCTACAGCTGTTGTGGCGTGAAGTGCTGGACTTCACACTGGAACAGGCAGCAAGCAGCCACATCTACTCTGTCACCAGAGCCTAGAGAGGAGCAACATCTACTGCAGGAGGTCAGTAGTGAATGGCCAGGGGACAGGAGTACCCAAACTGTGATGGATTTCCACTAAGCACATGCCCAAATCACGGGTCTATCCAATTAAAGCCAGACTTGGAGCAGTTTAAGTTCCTCCTCTGCATTAGGCATTCTTCATGTTTTACTAAACAGATGTAACATTGCTTTAAACACGTCACGTGCAGATGGTACAGTACAAATCATACGCTGCAAACTAGCTCTACGCTAGCTCAGCCTGGCATGATCTCACTTGGCCCTTCAGCTACTCTCTATGTGAAAGAGAAGACAAACAGGTATCTTCCCGAGGACACAGGCTGCAGATCTACTTAGTGGCTGCCTAAGTGCACAGAAACCTGAAAAACAGCGAGTGGGAAGAACTGACAAAAGTGCTTCCAGGCTCCGAGTCCAGAGCTCCTTCTCCCAGCCAGCAGAGTGCTGTGTATGTTCTCTTGGTTGTTTCTCCCCAGTGCCAGAAGATCATCTGCAAACAAAATGTTTGACAGGCAGAATGAAACAGCACTTTGCAGGCTCCATTCTCCGACGCCTTGCGCTCCCCTGCAGACGCTTTCCCTGTTAAACAGATCTGCCACAGGGGGACTCCCTGTGAAACACGAAGTTTGCAAAGAGGGCTCCTCCATCTGCTGCCAGAAAGCCATCAGACAAAGGGACCACACCTCGCCAGTAGTGACAGTGACGGTGACCACTGCTGGGGCTGCCGGTGGGCACACAGCCACGGGCTGTGCTCCTGGAATGTCCCTTCTCTAGCTTCACCAGGATGAGGTGCGATGGAGAGCCTTCCACCTGGAAACAGCAGCAGCCGTGGGTTTCTTGCAGGGAAAACAGAATGCTTCCTGCCCTTCCTCGCAGCAGTGTCCAAACTTGCTGCTGCTTCTCTGAAACCTCATCCTTTTGCATGTTCTGCCGGGATCTGACTGAACAGATGCAAGTGTCTTTGCTGCATCCCGCCCTACAAGGAAACACCTCATTCCCTTGTCACCATGTATTACTATTTCCCAGCCCACCTTTTAATCCACAAAGTCTATCATCTTGTAGCTTCCATTCAGAGTGTGGGAAATTATGGGGGGTTTGGTTCTTTTCTGCATATCAGCCTTTTACACGTTATTTCTGCTTCTGGGGCTTACACTTTCTATTCTTCCCTTAGAAATCGGGACACTTTTGCTGGCTTAAACAAGAAATAAACGTTGCAAGTGCTGAGCTGTAATTGCAAGGACGGGTAGTGAATACGCCCGGTGAAACAACCGAGCAGTTCAGAAAGGCTCCCAAGAGCCAATAACTAGCACTAAATCCAATCGGGGCACAAAAGCAGGGATGAGAATGAAAGTAAAACCCAAAGACAATGGTAAAAATTGCCTTCAAACATAAAATAACTGCACTCATGTGAGCGGAGGGCAAGATGCAAAGTTATCTTCCATAGCAGAAGGGCGATAACGCAGATGCAAGCAGATAGCAAAGCTTCCCGTGAGCCGATCGGAACACAGCACACGGTGGCCGGGGGCGAGGAGCAGGAGGCCTTCCCAACGGCAAACTAGGTCAGGGCTCAGTGGTCACGAAGGCCATGCCAGTGCGGCCCTGGGCCCCCTGGCAGCAGGGGCTCAGTCTGCACCAGGCACGTGACCGTGGTTGGGCACCACAATGCGGCGCTTGCTCCGGCTTTGTGCTTCTCTGCTGACTAAACAGTGGCCGGGGCCGGTGGGCAGCACCCAGGCTGGGGGGTGGACACCAAGGGACGAGTGGGGAAGGCACCAGGGCTCTGGGGGTGCGGGGCTGAGGCTGGCTGCTGGGGCGGCAGTGCTGGCAGTGCTGTCAGGTGAGGGTGAAGCCATCCCGGAGCTGGATGGCGAAGCCTGGGCAGGGCAGCTTGGTGGCAGCGGAGGGCAGGCAGGAAAGAGGAGGTGGAGATGTGTGGGGGCTGGTGGGAAGCACAGACTAGCAGAAGCCATGCCCAGACAAGCAGGGCCTGCCACACTGAGCCCAGCCGAGCCTGAGACCAGCCCAGTCAAACCCAACCAAGCCCAGCTGAGCCGAGCCCAGCTGAAACCAACAGAAACCAGCCGAGCCATGCCAAACTGAGCCCAGCTGAGCCGAGAGGGGCCAAACTCAGCCGAGCCAAGCCTGAGCCGAGCAGAGCCAAGCCAAGCCCCAGCAAGCGAGGCCATCCAGGTCTGGCCCACAGGGTCAGGTCTGAGCCGTGGCTATTATGGGATGGCAAGAGGCAGGTATTATGGGATGGCGAGGCCCTTCTGCGGCGGGGGAGGGGGGGGAGTGAGGGCGAGCCTTAACTATTATGGGATGGCGAGGCCTCCCGCGACCGGAGGGGGGCAGGTGGGTGGCAGGGCATATTATGGGATGGCAGGCGCTCCTGCCGCCGGGAGGAGTATTATGGGATGAGGAGGATGCCCCACAAGGGAGGGGGGGTGGGAGCGGGCAGATATTATGGGATGGCAGGGCCCGCAGCAGCCGGCGTGAGGCGAGAGCATTATGGGATGGCACCATTCCCAGCGTGGTGTGACCGGGCGACTATTATGGGATGGCTCTACCTTACAGCTGGGCTGCCTCCCTGGGAAATATTATGGGATGCAGCGGGCGAAAGGAGGGAGGGAGGGGGAGCTGTTATGGGATGTCGGGCGGGAGGCTGTAGCCCCAGCCAGGCTTCCAGCGGTGCCCGCCGGGACCTCCCCGCGGTGCCCCCGTCCGGCCCCAGCCCCCCCCTGCCCGCAGCAGTCGGGACCAATAAAGCCGGCAGGATATTATGGGATGGCGCGGGGGTGGAGTGGGGGGTGGTTGCCATGGAGCGTTTCCCGTGGGTGGCTATTATGGGATGGAGCCGTCTTTGTGAACTATTATGGGATGCGGGGTGGGGCCGCCCGAGCCCCGCCGCCCCCCGGGGCAGCGCGGCGGGAGGATGGGAAGGGGTGAGGCACCGGGCACGGGGGTACAAACCGGGGGAAGGGTTCTCGGCTGCCAACCGCACGTGGGTTCCATAGGAACCCTCGGCCGGATCCCCAGCATGGCGAGGCTGCAGGCTCCTGCTCGCACTCGCACTAAATTCTGTCCCCAAAGTAGTTGATGAAGGGAAAAAAACAGTCCTTCAGACTGGGGCTGTGGATCATCCCAACGACTCGCCTAAACATTGGTCCCAAGTGTACCTTTTCTGGGAAGAAACTTGCCGTCTAAGTCGAAGTGCCACAAAACTCTGAGCTGGTGACTTCAGGTTCCAGAAACATGCACACAGATGGCACAAAGCAAGACCCATCCCTGCGCGGTCCATCCCAGAGCAGGGGATATGCGATCATTGGTTTCTGCTCCAGGGACACAGACCCAAAGTACCAGTCTGGTGGTTGTCTGAGGTGAGAGAAAACCTCCACACAGGTGACTGCGGCAGCTCTGCAAACCTCTGCCCGGTTTGGAGCCCGGGGTGACTTAGTAGGTTTCACCATCGAGATTTAAGTCTCCTCTCGTCCAGCCAACCCGAGTCCATCAGCTCTGCTCAGTAGCAGGGGGGTTCACACCCAACAGAATGGGGAATGCAACCTCCAGGCTAATTAGCACTGTTCCCTGAGGTTGTTGCTGGGTGCAGCACTAGAAACGCCTCTCCCAGATCCAGCTGGAGGTAGGAGATGAAGGCGAGTTCTGTCCCAGCTTGTTTTTTCAGTATTTCTGCTAACTGAACCCAAGAGATGTGTTTTGGTGTTAGTGATTTTTGCCGGCATCCACCAGCTTTGATACAGGGAGTAAAAATAGGTACATAGGTGTCACAGAATTGCAGTCCAGGCAGCTCAACCCACTGGGTCGTTGTTGCAGCCCCTTTGAGACCACTGGCTCCTTCCCTGGCTGAATCCAACTGTTTGTTTCATGGAGAGGGGAGGGGAACAGGGCATCTCTAGAGCGCTTAAGGGAAGTGGGAATGTAAAAATGATAACTAATAAGCATTCTTAACTCTCAGGTATTGCTTCCAGCTTTTGTTATTTATTATATATATAATTCTAAGTTAAAAGACTGGTAATGTGTCAAAGTTAAAATTTTATAATTTCAAAATAACATTTGTTTTTTACATCTTACTAAGTGCCTCCATCTTCAGGGGGAAAAAAAGTGAAAATAAACGTGGAAAATTCAAATCTGAATATCTGATGACTGGCAAAGTTCTGAGTAACTGAAAACAGACTTGTGATGGAAAATATCAAGTAACCTTAGCTATAGGTGTCAGTACCAAGTATGTGATGTTTTTTAAAGCAAGCAAACCAGCGAAGCACACAGAGATAGAGATCAGCCGTTCTGATTTTCAGGGGGCTGAGCAACCCCCAATCTTCTCTATCTCACCCCCCAGCCTCCCCGCCTGCCTCAGTTCTCTGCTGCTAGCTCTGCCTCCTGCACCGTTCACGTCTGGCTGACGCGGTGCGGCTCTGGCTGCACGGCCACGACACTCACCCTGCCCCCTCCTTCCCCTGGCAAAACAGGAGACGAGGCTCATGACGAGTGCCGAGCGAAGTCTGAACTGCTGTTCCTCTAACGGGAAGTAGATGCAGAGTCACGCTGGCATATGGGCAGCCCTCACCTAGGTGGCTGCCTAGAGACTCGATCCTCCATTGACAGTAGAATGTTGTTCTCAAAAAAGAAGCACACATGGTCTCTTCAGTGATTCTTGATCTTATTCTGATTGTATGCTCCCAAATTCTCTATGTGCGAGTCTCTCTCTGCCTCTTGTTCCAGTGGTGTTTGTTTGCTGCAGGAGCAGTTCCTTGCACCTGACAGGAGGGGCTCTTGTCTCTTCTTGTGTCATTTTCTTCCATGTCTGACACCAAGGTAATGATACTTCCATTGTGCTAAATAAGCTTCTTCTCTGTGGAAGAAAGAAAAATACTAAATAATTTAAAAAAAAAATAAAATAGAAGGGGAGACCATTGAAGAAAGGAACAATGAAAATGAATCATTTAGATTTCCTTAGCTTGCCATGAAGACTTTGTGGAGTGGAGAAGAGTATCCTGGGCAGAGAAAAGAGCTTTGTAGTGTTGGGGAAGACATGCAGAACTCAGGACAGTTGCTGGTGCTGGGGTTTCTCACACTAGCCAAATTCTCACAAGATAGTTTAAAATGGGGGAGGGTGGCATGGGTGTTGAAGAGGCACAGACTGGGACAATAATCAGATATCGAGTGAAAGTTTGGACCAGTTTCTTACTAATTTAAAAGTTACTTATCTCAGAGTTTGATACTCCTCCCCTCTCAAAAATTGTCTAGGGCAACATTTTCTGTGTTACCAAAGGAAAAAAACAGAAGGGCAAGACTTCTCAGAAATCCTGGGATCTTCAGGATTCTTCGACAGAAGCGGTTAAACCCGAGTTCAGAGTCAATACCATCCAGAGAGCCTACAGGGCTGCTGAATGGAAAACACAAGGGGTGAGTCCATTCACATTAACTATAAATGGTCAAAACCAGGTTAAAGGAAGAGGTGAAATGTACCTGGAGCCTTTGCAGAACAGCGTGACATTCAGGGATACTTCAGGTGATACCAGTTTTGCACAGGTGCTGAAAGATATTTTTCATGTTACTAGTTGTGTGTAATTTGACAGAATGGATATAACAGCCAGTCTAGAGCAACCCTCAGCAGGAGAACAGAAGTACATCTGTATCCCAGCACCCAAAAGAAGCAATACAGTGTAGCATCACAGAGCCCCGTGTCGAAATCCATTAGCACCTGTGCGTCCTTATTGAACGTAAGAGTAGCAGACAAAAAATAACCTGAGACCATGAACCGACCATTCAGATCACATTATCTGCAGCACCAGCACGTCATGCTTATAGTCTGTTATCTGTGTCCCACATATGAACAGTTCACACTAGTCTGGAAAGCCTCCCCTCTTTCCAAAATGCTCTGGAGTTTCTTCCCCACCCCCTGTTGCCTCCCACACTGTGCAGCACTGAAACACAGTGTAAGGATGTCACTGGCCTCCATCCACTAGTTCCAGAGTGAAACAATGTCACAAACTTTGTTCTTCTTTTTACCTTGGAGAAACATGTTTCTATCAAAAATGAAACTGAGAAAAGAGCTGTGAGCCTGATAAAAGCCTGAGCAGGGGTGGCTGCCCGTGAGGAGGAGGAAGACGGGGCAGAACTCTCCTGGGTCCCCAGGCAGGGACCTGACCCCTGGCTAACTCAGACCACGCACAAAAGTACAGAAATAATTTAGAGGCCACCTCAGCATGCTGCTGTGGGAATACAGAGTCCACGTCACCTGCTTGTCACTGGAAGCAGAGCTGGGCAGGGGTGTGTGGAAGGCCCTCTGGTTAGTTTGGATTTTCCTAACACAGGTGCAGCGCCAAAGCAAGGGATGTTGCAGGCATTTTCCCCAAGGGAAGTGTGCTGCAGGGTTGTTTGGGCCATTGACACCCACCAGCACAGGTATGGAAGATCATATTTTGCAGATCTTGCTGCAATTGTTTCCAAAGTCAAGTGCTATAAACTGAAAAGCTTCAATTAAACCAGGTAAGTAATCAAAACACAGTAAGGTACAGCAACTTCCAGGTTTAAAGCAGCCAAATAAATCTATCTCACAGTGTTATCATCAAAGGAAAACATTTAAAAGTCTTTTTTTTTTGAATCTATGTAATGTGCTCAGCCCCCATAAACAATAAAAACACCCTAAATCATGATCATGTTTTGGGTTTTTTTTGGAGTAAAAATTAAGGCTTCTGCTGAGTAAGAAACTTAGTTACAAACTAAAAAGTCTGATAAAAAGGTGTTCAGGTGCGTGCAGGGAAAGATTTCAGGGAAGTGGTGGTTCATTTGGAAGCTTGGTGCTTTAGTGACCGAGGCATTGGGGTACACATTGCCTAACCAGTAACAACAGCTCTCTCCAGACCATAACCTTGCCAGCAGGAGTGTTGGAAATCACCTTCAGAGATAGCTCCAGCAACTAACTCCCTTTGCGAGATCTTCACTCACATCATACCTCTCACCCTGTGGCCAAGCCACTGGAAAAAAGAGGCATACGTGGAGTCTACGGGCCACCGATTGGGGCTGGACTGCTCAGCATGGGAATTTGCCGTGGCTGTCCGCCTGGCTCCTATTAGAGAGGATTACGAACAAAAAGTTCAATGCACAAAAGAGGGAGTGAAAAGTCCTGCAGAGGTCCACGTGAGTTTGGTGGTGGTGTTATCCACCCCATGTTTCTGTAGCACTGGATAGCCTGCTTGATCAGTGCAGAGGATGAATAGCATGTGTGGAAGAGTAGCACGTCTCTTTTTCTACTGCTTTTCCTCCATGCAGCTGACAGCACTGTCATCATCCAGGCGAAAATATGTACAGGGATAGCATGGTGTGCGTGCTGTTGATGATTGGAAGAGTAGTTGGATTTCTATATGTGCAAGAAGGTGGATAACACAACAGCCTCTTGAGACGTATTGGTCTCGTCTTTGCTGGCAAGGCAGGAATGAGGGCACGGAAGTGCTGTGGGGTGGCTGCACATGGATTTTGTGTTGCAGAACCACACTGGAGCACACAGCGGAGACGGGAACGCGAACGAGATGGTGGAGCATGATGATATCTCAGCAGAGAGGTGCTGGTGTGAGGAGGTGGGTGGTCAGGGCCTACACATACAGGTGTGGGAGAGTTTGCCAGAAATTAGAGACACTTCAGCACACAGCTGAGGTGATGGGATGGTGTTATGGAACACCTGCATGAGCAGTGTACGTGTGGACACATTTTCAGTGTGATTTAGCAGACAAAGCACAGGTTGTGTTACAGGATCTGTAAATAACTTGTTGCAGTCTGTAACAGTAAATCCTCCACTCATGTTCCAGGATGTTTCACTGTGGTGGGATGAAATGTGCACATGCACCACCAGGTGCAGGACAGAGCAGGGGTTGAGGAGCAATCAGTGCAGTTGTGGAGACCCAAGTGTTTACTGGGAGAGATGGATAGTACTGTGCCTCTTTGTTGAGATTAATAGAGATGCTCAACACAGGATAGGCGGCATTATGGGATGTGATTTTGTTTAATGGGAAATTAATGATACAGTTGCATGTGCATAATCGGGGTATACTTATACCTATGGACCGTTCATGTCTGTGCAAAGCAACAATGAGTTTCCTGGTAGAGGGCCACCACGGGGAGCTGAGTGAGAAGGAGCAATGGAATACAGGGACATGCTGCGTATCACAGAATCAATTAGGTTGGAAAAGACCTCTGAGATCATCAAGTCCAACTCATGATGGAACACCACCATGTCAACTAGACATGGCACTAAGTCCCACGCCTAGTCCTTCCTTGAACAGCTCCAGGGGTGGTGACTCCACCACCTCCCCGGCCACTCCATTCCAATATCTGATCACCCTTTCTGTGAAGAAATTCCTCCCAATGCCCAATCTAAACCTCCCTTGTCACTAGTTGCCTGGGAGAATGTGTATCCCTGGGGTACGAATAGTTCTGCAGGTACCAGCAGCCAGGAGAGGAGGAGGCCTTGTGTTGCAGGAGGGGCACTGAAGTCACCGCAGGCTCCCCACACACAGGCTGGCAGTGGCAGTGCCCACGCTGGGCACGAACAGCTCTAGAGGGGTCCTGCGGCCCCGCGGGCAGAACGTGCAGGACGGGCACGGTGGGCCGGGGCAGGGGAGCGAGCGGGGCCAGAGCCCCGGGGCTGGGGGGGAGGGAGGGCGGTGCCCAGAGCCTGTGCCCGGGGCTGGTGCCAGCGCGCGGTGCCACGGTCGGCCCCGCTCCCCGGGACCCCAGGCGGGGCGGGCAGGGCCGGGGGGCGGCGGCGCAGCCCCGCGGGTGCGGGGCGGGCGGCCGCGAGTATTATGGGATGCCGGGCTGGACGGTGGCTCCCGGCGACTATTATGGGATGCCTGCCTGGGCGCGGGGGGTGTGGTGTGGTGTGAGTGACTATTATGGGATGTGCGCGCCCGGGGTGTGACTATTATGGGATGTTCTGGGGGGGTCTTCACAGTGTGCCCTCCCCCCCCTCCCACCGCGCGCTCCCCGCGGGAGGAGGACCCGCCTATTATGGGATGGCAGCCCCGGGGGGCGCGCGCGCAGGGCCGCGCCGCCGGGGGGCGCCCTGCCCCGGCACGCAGGGTCCCGCGCGGGGCGGGGGGGGAAGGGGCAGTATTATGGGATGGGGGGGGGGGGGCAAGTATTATGGGATGTCGGAGCGAAAGGGTGCGAGCATGGGGGACTATTATGGGATGTTTCTCGGGGGGGGGAAACAGTATTATGGGATGTTCCCGGCGGGAGGGGTGGGTATTATTATGGGATGCCGGCCGGGCAGTGAGTGGGAAGTTCTGAAGGGAGGGTGAGTATTATGGGATGTCTCGGGGGGGGTGTTTGCCGGGGAGACGGGGGCGGGGCCTGTTGCCGGGGTCCCGGGGCATATTATGGGATGTGGGCGGGAGGGGGCGGGGCCTAGCCGGGGGTTTTTTTTCCCCTTTAAGAGGCGGTGCCGCGGTCGGAGCCATTTTCCCTTCAGCGGCAGCGGCGGCGAGTGAGGAGCTGGGGTCCGGAGCCGGGTGAGGAACCGGAAGGGAACGAGGGCGGGCAAGGCCGTCTGTCGCCTCGCGGGGCGTCCCCGCCGGCAGGCACCCCTCTCCGCCGGGCGCCCCGTCGGTCCCGGCCGCAGCTGCCCCGGGGACACGCCGTCCCCGTGCCCGAGCGGCTGCAGGACGGGTCCGGCCCCTCCGCCGCCGCCCCGGCGGTGCCGCAGCCCCGGCCCGCGGCGGCCCCCGGGGAGCGGTGGCCTCTCGGCGCTCGGCAGCCGGACTTCCCCGGCCCCGCCCCGCGCCCCCCCCCCGGGAGACGGTGCCCCCCGCCCCCGCCCTGCGCCGCGCAGCCCCGCTCCGGGCGGGGGCGGCGGAGCGGGGCTGCAGAGCCCGCCCGGCCTTTTGTGTGCGGCCGACGGCGGGGCAGGGCAGGGCCGGCGCTGCGGTGCCAACTCGGGGCTACCGGGCCGGGCACCGCGCTGACAGCCGGCCCCGGGGCTCCCGTGGGAGCCCGACTGCCTCGCCTGCACCGCTGCCTTCTCCCAGCCTAAGGCAGAAATAACCGAGGGCACCCGGCTGCAGAGGACGAGAGAGTTTTCCTTTAGGACAGCTGTTTTGGCTTCCTCGCCAGAGATGAGTTGCTGACTCAGTTTAATATCTGGTGTCCTCAAAGCCTTCTCCATCACAACTCTAAGCTGGTACTTGCTGCCAGTGTTTCTGTTTTGCATGGGTTCTAAATCCAGTATAAAGTTGCTGTCTAAGCTTTCTCACGGATCCTCTTGGTAGCACTATTGCTTGGAAAAACGGAGTTCGGATCTGCTGTAACTTTCTCTTTTTCTCTTCAATGAAGTACTGGCCGGACTGGCAAGAAGACGACACTCTGTGTAAGCCCAGGCCTCCCCCCGCTCGGAGGACATGGCATCGGGCATTGGATCTCCGTCGCCATGCTCGGGGGGCAGCGATGATGATGAGATGGAGATCCTGTTGAACAACGCTATCCCCCAGCATCCAGGTATGGCGAGCCTGCAGGGCATGCATGTGGAATGGGGAGAATGCTGGTCTCAGGCTGAATGTGTGAAATACATGATGCGTTGGGGAATGTAATTTTTCTTTTTACTGCAAGCCATGTGTATGTTTTTGATATCCAAGTCCCAGGGTTACTTCAAAGCGCGAGGCTCAGGGCTTTGTGTCAGGTGGAACTGACTTTGTTCCAAGGCATTGCAGGTTGTCGGGGCCTGTGCTTTGAGGAGGTGTAGAGGGTGGAGGCAGTGTGTCCAATTCTGATGGGGTACCAAAATGCCTGCGAATTTGATATTTCATGAATGGGGAGGGGGAAGAGCGGTAATATGTGAAAGGGCAGGTTGCCTGGCTTGCTTTCATCTGGGAACTCAGACCGGCTGACGTCCAGAGAAAACTGCCCTGGGCTGTTGCGTGACCCACTTTCCTTCATCACCACACCCAATTATTGAGGTTTCTTGTGATTCTTGCTCTGTGCTGCTTGCTCACCTTTCCTTTTCTTGTAGTCCTTGTATCTTTTCTCTCGTTTGTATCCTCATCATCAACGTGAGGCTTGAGTTAGAGCCCTGGGAACTCATGTGGTATGGGGGTTTTTTTATTGCTATTGTTGATGACCTGCTCTGTGGCCACGTACCTGGATTCTTCATTTCTTTGTGAAAAGGAATCATATATAAACCGATGTGTCGGATTGTAAGACAAGTTTGAGTTTTCATACTAACTCATGCTCTAATGCTGTAGCGTCATATAAGAGAAGTGTTGTAACTGGAAAGGGAAGATGGTGATGTGGCTTTTGGGATTTTTGTTCGTTTGGCATTTTTTCTTAAGCTTTGACTCTAGGGTTTTCTGGCATCTCTGAAATCTTGGGCAGAAGGGGACTGTCAGTAAGGAAAATCTTGATGAAGAAAAACTGTTAAATCCCCTACAAAGTAGAGAGTATATATAGTACCTTGGTGGGTCACCAAAGGCTCTAAGTCAGAACTTGGAGTAGAAGAAGAGGTGTGATCCCTGAAGGACCTGGTGTTACAGGACCATGGGAGTGAAGAGACATCCACTGGTAATATGGCAGGAGCCAGGTGTGGGACCCCAGGTTCTGAGAGCTTGTCCTCTGCTGTTTCACCCCTGGCTGCAGTAGCTCCTCTGACCTGTGGCTTCCTTCATCCTGCCCAGCTCCGGTGGTCAGGAGGCCATTTTCCCTTGGAGGGAGAAGGAGTGACTCTGGCTGTGTTCGGTGGGCGGGGCGGCGGGGGAGGGCGGGTGGCCGCGCTGCTCCCGCAGCCTGCTGCCACAAAGGGAAGGGCTGCCTGGCTGCCCGTGCCCCTCAGGCTGGGGGCAGCCACGGAAGGGGGCACACAGATGGGAGTGTGCAGTGGTGGTGGGGAACTGGCATGTGTTCTTCTGGCCAGGCAGTGAGCTTGCTAGCTGTTGGGGCTGGGGAAGATTCTGTCAAATCTGGATCAGAATAGAGTTGCTGAGTAACAACTTTCCTGTGGAGGAGGAGAAGTAGTGGCTTACTGGCCTGTATTTTGCATGCAGCTGCAGCGTGCTCTGTACAGCTGAAGGGGCTAGATGATTTCTTTCCTGAAGACCCATGAACTGAAACAGTATCCTAGTCAGGTTCTCATGTGGCTACCTGTTTTACACTCTTTCCTCTTCTTGTTGGGTTATGGCAAACTTCTTGTCCTTAAGTTCTGAGTGTAACTCTGCTTGGAGAAGGAATATTGTGTAAATAGGAGGTGTTGGGAGGGGGAAAACTGTGTTCAGTGGTACCTTAGGATAACAATTTTGGAGTATCTGTTGTGAACAGTAAGAGTTATAACTAGTTCTGTTTGTATGGAGCAAGTTAGTATGGACAAGTTGATCTCTGTGAAGTGGGCTATACTGTAGTGCACAGGTGTGGTTTGAATGAGACGTGTTGCTTCTTCACATCCAGAACCTGAAGAAGAGGCAGAAGAAGAGCTTCTGTCAGAGGCTGACACCCCCAAAATCAAGAAGAAGAAGAAGCCCAAGAAACTAAAGGAACCCAAAGTGCCCAAGCTCAGCAAGCGTCAGAAGAAGGAGGTAAGGAAAAGGATGCCTAAGGTCACACTGAAATATGGATATGTAGGGTGAGGGTGCTTACTGATGTTGATCTATGGCAGCAGTCCTTTGTATGAGTCCTCTAGAGCATGGGGAGAGAGCGATGTTTAGTGCTTCTCCAGGGTGTTTTCTCACAGCTGCCTGATCTTCTCCCTCCCTCCCCAGCTAGGGGACAGCTCTGGTGAGGGGAATGAGTTTGTGGAGGAAGAAGAGGAGGTTCTGCGTTCTGACAGTGAGGGCAGTGATTATACCCCTGGGAAAAAGAAAAAGAAGAAATTAGGACCTAAGAAGGAAAAGAAAAACAAAGCCAAGCGCAAGGAGGAGGAGGAAGAAGAGGAAGAAGATGATGACTCAAAGGTGAGAAGCTACCCTGCTGACTTAGTGCTTGCTCTTCATTCCCAGGTATCTGATTTGGGGGATCATTGTGCTCTCCATTTGCGATGGCAGAGGGAGTTGGGGCTGTTCAGTTTCTTCTTCCTCCACTACACCTGCTTGACTTGACCTTTTTCCCACCTTGCATTCCTTCCTGTCTTTTACTTTAAACACACATGGAATTTACATTGGATCCAAAGATTTTTCCCACCTTCACTGTCTTTTGTTGAGACTGTGTCTTATGGTGATAAGTGGATGTGTGGGGGGGGAAATTCCCTGGGTCATCTGTGGAATATGGAAGATGTGTGGAAGTTCTACTCTTTCCTAGAGCAGAACCAGAACATTTTCTCTGTAATCCTCTCTTCATAGGAGCCAAAGTCATCTGCTCAGCTCCTGGAAGATTGGGGCATGGAGGATATTGATCACATCTTCACAGAAGAGGATTACCGCACACTCACCAACTACAAAGCTTTCAGCCAGTTTGTCAGGTGAGCTGCAAGCCTATGCCTGAAAGGACTCTGGAACAAAAAAAAACAGATGGGACAAAAACTAGATTCCTTGATTTTTAGAACCTCAGGTGCACATTAGAGACACTGGTGTCATACCTAGAGCAAAAACTGAAGTAACAGTAAAATAGTTGATCCACAGCTTTTTTGTTTCTAGTCATCGAGATGATGCAAGTCCTCACTTCCAGTCCACTTTCTTCCCTACTATGCTGAATTCTGTTTCGTTTTCCAAGCCCCTGAGTATTTGCATCCTCCCCATAGAGTGAAGGATGGGAGTGGAAAGATTCA